GGGGGAGTGGGGGAGTGGGGCGAGACGGAGATATACGAATTTTCCTCGTTGTGGCAGACGCCATGGACAGTGTGCACGATGTGCACTCTGCCGATGCGCCGTTTGCAGCCTTGCGTCAGCCATCAACGTCACTGTTCTCGAGCTGTACAGACCCCACTGAAGCATTTAGCAGGGGCGGGGGCGCGCCGTTGCGGAGGTTTGATCCAGAATCAAGCAAGGTGTCCTCAAAGCCCAACAACCGCTCCCCTCTTAGCAGCTCGCTAATCCCCACTGTGGATGCGCGTCGCTGCCGCCGCACCCCGCCCACGCCCCGCCGCGCCCTGCGAGTGGTCCCCCCGTTTGTGCCAATGAATTCGCGAGGGATGAAAGAGATTTCGCGGTATTATCCGGCATAGGCCTTGCGCCTCCTGTGGCGCGCCATACTCAACAACTCGAGTAGAAGCTGGGGGAGTGGGGTAGGCAGTAAAAGGAGCGCGTGGGCACGTGGGAATGTGCCTTACCTAATCAGCTGGGCAAGCCAACCTAGTCGCCAGGGCCGTCTTGGCAATCTAACCTAGTCGCCTTTTCAACCCAACCTAGAGGTCTGGACTGCATGGGCAACCTAACCTAGACGACTGGGACTCCGAGGCAGCCCAACCTAGTCGCCTTTTCACCCGACCTAGAGACCTAGGCTACCTGGGCAACCCAACCTAGATGACTAGAACTTTAAGGACAACCCAACCTATCCGCCTTTTCAACCCAACCTAGACGACTGGGGCTCCAGGGCAACCCAACCTAGTCGCCTTTGCTACATAACCTAGAGGCCAGAGGTTCCTGGGCAACCCAAACTAGTCGCCCAACCTAACCTAACCTAACCTAACCTTGATGCCTGGGCTGCCTTTACCAACCAACCTAGACGCGTGGGTCACCTGAACATCGTAACCTAGTTACCTGGGCTCCCTCGGCTACCCAACCTAGTCAGCTGGGCTGGGCGCCCTGCGCCAACTCATCTTTTCGCCTGGGCCCCCTGCGCAACCTAACTTAATTGCCTGGGATCACGAAATTGAACCAGTTAAAATTAGATATGAGGGAGGTTTGTTAAGGGTTGCGGTGCACCCATAAAAAAATCTCCCACTCGTTCAACTGCTTGTAATATTTAAAATTTTACGAAAACTTTAATGGCAATAAAAAGGGGGTGGGGAAGCAACCTCTTGTTTTGCAAAAAATATTCGCACACTCTCGTGTCCCCCCCCCCCTTCCCCTCCCGGCCTCGCATCATTCGCCCACCTACCACTCCCTTCTAAATCTACCCTTCACCCCCTCAGCATTTCGGGAGCACGGCCTTAACGACGCACGCACCCTGTTTAGCCCCGCGACACGTGAGGCCGGGGGAGGGGGGAGATGGCTCGGGGAGGTTTTATGATACGCCGCGTATAAAAGGCGTTCCGTCGCGCCGTATAAACAGGCCATCAGCAATTGAATGAGGAGTGTGAAAGGGTTGCCGCTCACCGCAAAGTCATTTTGCGCGGGTCCCCGACTCGTGCCGTGCACTGTAAAGTAAAGGGCACACGCGTCATCAGCGTGCGTAGAAACCGTTGAGGAATGGAATAATTCAAATTAAACGCCGATATCGACGACAATCATTTTTAACTCATTTCGAGAATTATCTTGTTTCTATTCCGACTAGCCTGCATTGTGATTCGCCCATTTTTTTCTTACACGCTACTGTATACCAGCTATTAAATTTGCTGCTGGGTTCACGCTCTGTTCTGGACGGTTGGGTGACGAAACTTTGCACTCGGCGGGTACGTCGTGCGACCGCCCCGTCCGGTCCCCACTCGCACGGCCGAGGGGAGTACTCGGAGCAGATAATGCTAAATCTACTCCAAGATATTTAGCCTGGGCCCAGAGAGCTCTGGTGTGTGCCAAGTGAGCACGGCCGGCTCGGTGCGCTTATCGGGCCGGCCGCATCGCTGGCGGGGCGCCGGGGATCGAACCGACGCGTCCGGGCGTTACTTATTAGCAGGGGATGACCTCGGAGAGAGAGAGAGACCGACCGACCGAGGTGGGGGGGGGGGGGATAAAGCTAGGAGTAGTTACCCAGACTCGAGCGGCGACTGGACCTAAGCAGATTCTCTCTCTCTCTCGCTCTCTCCCTTCTCCCTACCTCATCTCTCTCTTTCTCACACCCCACACACGTTCACACACACACACACGACCCGTTCGACACGCGCTGCTGGGGAGCGCCCAAGGAAGTATGAAATGTTAACAACCCTCGGGCGTTTAGCGCTGCCCGCCCCTTTAGGCTGGGTGGTAGGCTGTTGGAGGCTCCAGCAGCAGCAGCAGCAGCAGCAGCAGCAGCAGCAGCAGCAGCTCCAGCAGCGGTGCCCGGCCTAGGATTAACTGAGATGGCCCTGGGAAAGGTAAAGGGCCCGGGCAATGAAGCGGGACGGGGAGGGTAGAGTGGGGGCAGCAGGCGAGCCCCATCCGCCAGCAACGCCCGCCACCTCCTGGAGTGGGGCACAAGTGAGAATAAAGCGGAAAATTGAGCATTTCGCCCTCCATGGTTTCTAGGAGATGAGGGGGTTGGTTTTCCATTTTCAATCTCCTCCTCCTGGAGACCTTTGAAAAAGAGACTCAGCCCAGCACCAGCAGGTGGACCGGCGAGTGGACACGAGAGAGGGATACACGATGGCGGACAAGCTCAGCCGGGACGAACAAGTCCACTCTCTTGCTTTGAGTCAATCATAGTTTTGCCCGTCTACCCTTACCCCCTCTTTGCTATCTACTCCTTTCTGCACCTTATGGTGCCTCCTTGTCGGCTCTCGGGTCCGCTCTGCTCCCGTCTCTCTCTCTCTCTCTCTCTCTCTCTCTCTCTCTCTCTCTCTCTCTCACTGTTCCTTTCTGCCTTTCTCCCTCTCCCTCACTCTCTCTCTCTCACCCCCACGGGTTTGTACGGTGGCGGTCGGCTGAATATCGTCCGGCTGAAACAAAAAGGGTCGGGGACGGCGGCCGCCCACGAGGACCAGAGCATCCCTTCCCTGTTGCCGGCCGCGGGGGAGCCACGCGCCCGGCCACGCTGCGCCCCGGGGCCCCGGACGAGGCCAGCCAGGCCGAGGGGCTCTCCAATCAGACGAGAGTGCCCGCTGCCGCTGCTGCTGCTAGTGCTTCTTGCCTGGTCCGCGCGCCACGAGTCCTTTGTGGACCAGAAAGGAAGTAGGGAGACAGCGAGGGAAAGAGAAAGTTCACAAGCAAAAAAAAGTCAAGGGGGCAGCTGGGTGCCCCTTTGGAGGGGTGCTATGATGACACAATGGCGTACATAACGTATCTCTTTTAAAAAAGCAAGATACGTCGTTGAGCTAATAAGCGTGGTAAATGAGAGTATTTAACGCTTTTGTGGGTTCTCTATCACAAAGATGTCCGCATTGTCGATGCTGACGACAAATGAATGGCGCGACGTCGTCGTCACCGCACGGAAAGAAGTGGTTATAAACCATATAAATGCAAGACAACTAATTACGTAACTATATAGCAAAAAAATTAGCTAGGTAGATGCCCATTAGCTCAATTACATACCTAAACTTTTGGCAACAGAGCTAAGCAAGTTTTAGTAATCCCATATTCAGCTAATAATGCTTTATCTATATATAGCACTTTTTTTTCCGTTTGCGATTTTTGTGCGTCTCGCGAGCAGCCTGCGCGGAATAACGCTCATTTGCCTTGACGATGGGCCGTATTCCCGCTGCACGCGACGCGACGCGTAAGTTTGATAACGAGCGCGGGGAATCCATCGCAGTGCGTCATCTTGTGCAGGAGCCAGGGAGCGGGGAGAGAGAAGGAGGTTGGTAGGAGGGGAAATCCAGCGTCGTGGCGCAGCGGGTTCGCAAACTTCTCTGCACCACACCTGACATTTCTCCTGTTTCAAGGAGTGTGATTACAAAATGTCTGTTACATTTCTACGCCAAGTACTCTCCTGGCCCCGTGGCGGTGGCCAGCAAGAGGCGGGCTCCTCTGGTGGCGATCTTTGATCGTCCAAGGTGCGCCGCTGCGGTCAGGGGACAGGGCCGTAATAGTGCGCGCCAACTTTGTGCTCCCCAGGAGCAAGGGGCAGAGAGCGATGCAAGTCAGATGAGGGGCTGGCCACGGGGGGGGGGGGGGGGTAGCGACGGTAGCCTTTTGGGAGGGGAGCCATCATCATGGTGACGCGCCGGAAGGTGAAGGGAAGGACCACCACACCACACTCTGCCCCGCGAGTGGTGCCGGTGGCCTCCTGCCCCAGCGCGCCTGGAGGCATAGGCAAGCCCCGCTGCGCTCGGGCACGGACGTGCGGCGGGTGGCCTGTCCAGCGCGCCTGGAGGCATAGGCAAGCC